AATTGAAAGTATGTCATCATAAAAATTAGAAAAATAAAGGAAAGAGAAGGGGGAGGGTGGGAGTGAAAGAAGAAGGGTCAATAGGGTGGGAAGTAGCATTATGCTCTTAAAATTACATAGATGAAATACATGAAATGTGTTCCCATTATATAAATTAAAATTTTTAAAAATTATAATTCTTTTAAAACTGGGTTAAATTATTTGAATTAGCAAAACTCTTTTGAGTAGTGTTTGTGACACACTTTTGATCATGACCCAGAATAACAAATAATCTTACAATGGGATCCAGACACACACGTACACACACGGACATACACACAATGAACGAAGAATGCTTACCTTTACTACTGAGTGTGAACTATGTAGGTATTTCTAGGAAGGTCAACATTGTCATCATGTATGTGTTGGTGAGCTATGATTTAAAATGCTGCACTCGTTCTGAAAGGTGGTTATATAACATGGAACTTGCTCCAGGGGAGCCTAGAAGCCATGAATTTATATGAACAAATGGTAAGTTACGTAACATTTTTTAATTTTAAAAAATCACGAGAAATTATTCTTTCTGCATAAGATTTCTAAAAATAAAATAAAGTTCACAAATTACGTAGAAATAGAATCTTTGATCAACTGTTTTCAACCAGGCATCACGAAAATTTCAAGCTGGTTAGATTACTGCAACTTTTTAGGTGATCTCAGTTTACAAACGGTTTCTTATTATTGACCCAATCCAGCTATTCTCTGCATTTGGAGTAAATGTTTCTAGTTTTGAATATAAGAATTTTTAACACTGAAATACAACTTGCTGTTACTAAGGTTAATTATTTAATTATGCTACCTGTTAATTTTTTGGCTCCATCTAACTTAATCCTTATTGTTTCTCAAGAGCAACTGGTGTAACATACAACCTTAACACCAGAAAATATTAGCAGTGTTAATTTAGTTCTTTTCTACAGCAACCTCAATCTCAGTTTCCTCATTTTAAAAATTGACTACTAAGAAGTACACAGAATGACAAATACAAAGAATGTAGCATATTGACTAACAAATAGTAAACACTCATTAAATCTACTAATTAGTGTTGTTAAAACATTATGTCCTATCAATAGGAAACCTATAAATGCTTAAACTGAGCAATAGATGTACAACTTATGGTAACACTAAAATAAATATTATACTGAAATGTTTGTAGAAGTGAAGACTTGGAACATATTTGTTTAATGTTGTGTTTTTTAAATGTCAGCTAAACATCAGTGTACAAGTTTGATTATCAATATCTCACTAGATCACCTTCAAGAAATACATAATCCCATATAAATGTAAAGTGTTTTCTGTTCCCCAGGTTTCTTCTGAATTTTTCTCTCAAAAATATGAGTTGCTGCAGTGGTAACTGTAGTGGCTATGCTGCTGCTAGCAGAGATTGGTAACAATTTACAATTACGTAGAATACTTGGAAAACAATATTACAGAGAATTTCAAAAAAAAATTTTGAAACTAAGTGAAAGAACAGTTTTAAAGCATATACATAACAATAATGTATTTGTATTATCTAGTATTAAAAGAGAACAAAAGATTCTGGGATTTTTTTTCCAGTAATGCTGATGTAATGAGCCAACTTGGAAGGATAAAAGGTAAAAATAAAACAAACACACCTTGAAACAATGTATTCAAAAACTAGAATGTAAACAAGGAATTCATCATGTAAACAGCTTTACGTTTTATCATTGAAGTCTTATCAGGGGTTATGCTACCCACATGTTAGATGACCAATAATAAGCAGGTCTTCCTTTCCAAATTTTTAACAATACATTTATTATGACATTTGACATAGTCATAAGAATTGAGATGAAATGAGAGGCTTTTTAACTTAACTCAGTATGGTGGTTAAAGAAATACTGGTTTGTCAAAGATGCAATGTACTGAGTGATCCATACATTGTCTATTCATTCTATAATAAAGGTCAACACCACTGTGTAAGGGCAAAGCTGGAAAAAGAAGCAGCTCCCAAATGTTCCATATTGTGGCTAACTGGCCTCATGTTCATCTTGCACAGGGTATTGAATTAAGTTCTGAAGAATGTATGCCGTCTATTTTTACACTTTAAGACCATGATTGTAGTGTTCAACATTATCCTTAAATGACTTTCCTTACTCTAATATGGCTTGAATTACATATGTGTCTTATAGAAAATGATCTCAATTGTTTGACTTATGTTGAGAACCTAGATTCCTACCTTGGCTGGTCTGCCCACCACACTCCCTGATGTGCCTTTACCCCACTCCTGTTTGTGAAGGGCACAGCACTAGGGAAAAGATTCAAACACATCAGTTTGCATTTATTTGGCACCTGACACAATGTCCTCCTACTGTCTCCTTCCACATGGGCATATGGCAACATTACTGATATATGTAGCGCCCTTTATGGTCCAGTCTTCCTCACACTCAGTGACAAATTTTATCAGAGGAGGACAAATGGGAGGATGGAATGGGAAAGGTAACTCCTTAAATTAAAACACTCAAATGGAAACACACTTATCTACCTTGTGGTAGTATGTGTCTGTCTTTCTAACTGAACATATTCACATTGAATGTCACTCTATGGGTTTTCTGTTTCTAGTCCTGTGGGCTGTTTTACTTATTTTTCACTATTGTACTTTAGGATGGGCTGTTTTAATATGTAAAACGGATATTCTGCCCTTTGTGTGTTCAAAAACAAATAATATTTATAAATGCTCTAATAAATAACACTTTAACAAGCTATTGATTGCTCACATGTTTAGCTTTGCTTCAAATCTTCTGATAAAAATCAATTCTTTAAAAATACTAAGCAAATGTATATAAAGTATTGTGGATCAAATAGATTTTTGCTATGGGGCCCTTTGGACTGAGTATGAGGATCAGGTAGGGCTGATTCTATGTTCGCTTAAATGTTTTTTTAAATCAAATATAAGAACTTGGAGAAGCCCAGGTATTGATATATTAAAATGCTGAATAATCTCCTTTAACAAATTCCACATTAATCTCATTAATATATATCTACCCTTTACTGTAATCTTTATTTTTAACATGTGTTGATGAGCATTTTTGGATATATACAAAAGTAAAATCTATGATATAACTAAATATTTCACAAACCAAAGAATTTTTATTATCATATTTTATTTCATTTTAGTAAAATGGAATTCAGTTTGTATGAAAGAGAGCAATTATGAGACACTTGAAAGGCTTTGGAAAGCAAATAAGTAACAAGAAATTTTATTTGAAAGCACAGTATTAGTAAATCTCTAATATACAGCATTAATTTCCCTCAAAATGAGTGTGAAATCATGGGAGAGGTTTTACCAATTGGTATATGTTTTTCAAGGGGAAAAATAGGTTTACTTTAACTATATAAAGTCTAAAGACAAAGTATACAGTAGAAATTTTTAAATTGCAAATTGTAAACTTTCAAAAATGGTTTGACATTTTTCTAAAATCTAAGACCAAATATTATTTCAAATTAACATTGATTTTTATTTAATAAAAGGAAAAATATTTCATTCAGAATATAAAAGTATAAGTTGGAAATCATGAAATAATACTGTAATATTAAGTTATTTAATTTAGTAAGCTTTTAATTTTCATTAACATGTATTAATCACTCAGATATCCAAGTTAAAAAATATAGAAACTCAAGCATTTACATTCTATATTTGTGATTCACAGAATGACAGCATGATCTAGGGATACTATTTTAGTAAAGTGAGAAATGGAAAATCCTGTAAGTACTGTAGCATAATTTTGAGGAGAAAGATGAAAAGTTGCATAGAAAGGAATTCAGTAAAAAGCAGATCCATCTTTACCAAGAAAACATCTAATGGTATTAGATAATGTCTATATGTGATGAAGCAGTTTGAGAAAGTTTTTTTTGTAATGTTGTCTATGTTTTGTTTTGTTTTGAACTAAAGGAAGTCATAAGGAGTTGAACATATGATTGTTGTATGAAAAGTAACACAGAAAAACTCAGTTTTAACTCTGATTTCACAAGTTGGTCAAATTAAGGAATATGAGAAAAACACATCAAGTTCTCTTCTCATCTAAACTTCCCGGTATCTCTTTCATTAGAGGGACCCTGAAAATGCCTTCTTCCTGTTGTTATTTCTCCCATAGCCTCTCTCTAGGTTTGTCATTGATAATAGAGAAGATGTATCAATAATGAGAGAACCTTGTAATTACCATAAACTTAAGACAAAAAGAATCCATTCCTCTTAGCTCTCCAGCCATACCTAAGGACACATTTACTGCTGTAAGCCACACACAAATACTTGATTTCCTAATCTATATGTATAGAATTTTTACCAGCCAAGGAGAATCAGTTTTATAGTAATTAACATTTTACATTATAGCTTACTTGCTTAACTGCCATTTTTTGAGGTGACTTAGTTGAAAAATACTCTCAATATATGTTCCAATATGCATACAAATGTTTGCACAAATTCAGATAGTGTTCTGTATTTTGGAAGAAATGAAAAGTTTACCATACTCCAAGTACTAAAACCTAATTGTAAATATGACTATTAATATTTTAGCATATTGCGGTCAGCATTGTGTAATATCGGGTAAAGCCACAACCTGCAAATCCAGTATCCCATATGGGCCCTGGTTTGCATCCTGGCTGCTCCACTTCAGATCCCTGCTAACGTCCTGGAAATGTAACGAAAGACAACGCACATGTTTGGGCCCCTGTGACCCATCTTGGGGGCCAGGATGAGGCACCTGGTTTCTGGCTTCAGGCTTGCTCAGCTGTAGCCCTTATGGCCATCTGGGCAGTGAAGCAGCAGATGGAAGATTCTCTCTGTGTGGGTGTAATTCTGACTTTCAAGTACATAAATAAATCCTTAAAAAGTATATTTTAGCATATTAATGCACTGAAATAACCTTTATGTTTCATAGATATTAGCATATACCTACACATATTTATGGTTCTATATTTGTCTCAGTTATTACATTTCTCCTCTTTTTCAGATAATGCTTAGTATATTCTGCAGCAATTTTTGGTGTTGGATACATTTGGAATCTCTTCAGCTTTTGCCCTTGTGGCACATCTCCTTCCAGCTTTAACTCATTTGTTATCCTTTCAAATATTTTACATGATCTGCAATGGTTACATGAACTTCTGGGAAGTGGTATTTGCACCATTTCTTACTTTATTCACTATGACACTTTAAGAAAAGAAATTGGAACAAGCTTCCAAAGCATCATTTTAAAAAATGAATCTTATTGTGAAGCTCCGGAGAAGTTTTCGAACACTGATTGTTCTATTAGTTACCTTTTGCTTGGTGAGCATTGTCATTTCTGCCTATTTCCTCTACTCTGGCTACAAGCAGGAAATGACACTTATTGAAACCACCGCAGAAGCAGAATGTGCTGGCATCAAAATTCTACCATACCGGTCAATGGATTTGAAAACAGGTAAACCTATTGATACGTCCAAAACCGACCCTACTGTCCTCCTCTTTGTGGAAAGCCAATACTCTCAACTCGGTCAAGACATTATAGCTATCTTGGAATCCAGTCGATTTCAGTACCACATGGTCATTGCTCCTGGCAAGGGAGATATGCCTCCCCTTACAGATAGTGGCAAAGGGAAATATACTTTAGTCATTTATGAAAACATTTTGAAGTATGTCAGCATGGATTCCTGGAATCGAGAGCTTTTAGAAAAATACTGTGTGGAATACAGTGTTAGTATAATCGGTTTTCATAAAGCCAATGAGAACAGCTTACCAAGTACACAATTAAAAGGCTTTCCATTAAACCTTTTCAATAATATCGCTCTAAAAGACTGTTTTGTCAACCCTCAGTCTCCTTTGCTGCATATCACCAAAGCGCCCAAGGTTGAGAAAGGCCCTCTTCCTGGGGAAGACTGGACTGTTTTCCAATATAATCATTCAACCTACCAGCCTGTGCTTTTAACAGAATTACAGACAGAAAAATCCCTTTCATCCTCGTCCAGTAAAACACTCTATGCTACAGTCATTCAGGATCTGGGACTTCATGATGGAATCCAGCGAGTTCTTTTTGGCAACAACTTGAACTTCTGGCTGCACAAGCTCATCTTCATAGATGCCATCTCCTTTTTGTCAGGGAAGAGACTGGCATTGTCCTTGGACAGGTACATGCTCGTGGATATTGATGATATATTTGTTGGGAAGGAAGGAACAAGGATGAATGTCAAAGATGTAAAGGTAAGAACATTTATAATTATAAATAACATTGCAGTTTGTAGATCACTAGCTTTTTGAGATTGATAAAAATATCATTTTGAACATTTGAGATTTCTAATCACTAAAATTTTAAGGTGTTGTAGTTAAAAAAAATCAAATAGGCATTTTAAAAAAATCTTGGATGAAACCTTAAACATTCCTCAGACGTATATGCACATGAGAAACCTCAGAAGGGAACAAATCTGAAACAAATTAAGGAATAATTTAACTTAATCCATTTGGTTCTTCTTAAACCTCACCCTTCCCAGTTAGAAGTCAAAAGCAGCCTCTCTTACTTTAACAAGTTTTACAATTTGTAACAGTGATACTAGTACTTATAGAACTCTGTTTCTGAACTGATGGCCCTGTCAAACTTGGGATTGACAATATGGTTTAAGTGCAACATGGAGAAGCAGCCCAAACCCTGCTATAAAACCAAGAAGACAAACCATTGGCTTTTCTGAAATGTTCATACACTTGCAAATAGCTATTAGTAAAACAGGTTTATAAAGGTATGGCATTGGAGTTTACCTTGAAAGATTTTCATAATTATCTCCATTAATTTTTCCTGTTATTTTTGGAAAACACAGGAGTATTACAGGCAGCACTCACAGATTAACTGACTGCATAATAGATTCTTTCTGTGATAGTTTCAGATAATGAAAAGGTCTAGTATGGTATACCAGATTAGAGATTAGGTTGGTATTAATGAGGATAATTCTTTTAATCTGAGATGAATATGCTCAAATAATTTTTCATGGTGCCTATCTTGTCCTTTATATATTTATGTTCAATCTTTGCATAAATAATTTTAAAAATGAAAGTTAACTAAGAGAACTCATTTAGAATTATAAAAACCAACAAGGATAATTACCATTATGTCATCTCTTTGTTTCCCTTGACCTTCTGTTATTATTTGTCCTCCAAAGACAAAATCTTGACAATTAACAGCTTTCCCCTCATAAGATTTTATGCTCAATATAACACAATTTGATTAAAAATTATGATATTTCAATTTTTAAAAATTTTGAAAGAGCATGTGGACCAGTGAACTCTATTAATGAACCACTAAATGAAATGACTGTTAGCGAACTATTTATTTCAGGACTGGTACGATAGGATTAAGTGACCATATTTGAATTCTGTATAGATTTTTCTGACTTCTTTTCATTTTTTGTATTTGTTATTTCTATTATTTCTGTTTATTTTAATTTTAAAATCATAAACTCAAAAAAGGGATCATGTGCTTCAAAATGTTCACAAAGTGGTTGGTTATGTATCCTGAAAACTTAAAAACATGGGGTTTCTTTATTTTAGGCCAAGGAACAATACTAACTAATTTTTTTTACGATTCTAAATTAAGTTAATGAAGTAAAATTCAGCTATTTCAATTACCCTCAAGAGGAAAAATAGTAACTCACCAGTTTTCACACAATATTCAAAGGTCAATGATGATTTCTTCATAGAAGAATGAAATAAAACAAAGCCCTGAGCAATGTCACGCATGAAGGGAGAATTAGAAAGGTTGTGTGGGTGTATACATATATTAATGTCTGTGCGTGAATGTATGTGTATTTTAATTAGACACTGTATGTTAGTGAGTATGTAAAATGTATCATTATATACACAGTTAATTTAGTTGTCATTTTGGAGAAAATACTCTTTAGTGTCCCTTTAATTATTGGTTCTGGTTTTCTCTCATTTAAAAAAAATTCATTTTTAATTTATTTTTAGTTTAGAGAAATTGTAAATCTGTATTTTGCATACAACATGAAGATTTGAAATATCTGTACATTCTAGGATGCTAAGATCAACTAACACATATATATGTTAACTAACATATACATATATATGCCTTGCATATTTATCTTTTTTGGTGAAAATACAAAATCTATTGTCAATGATTTTTAAGAATATGGTGCATTGCTAATAACTGTAGTCACCATGTTCTATAATAGATCTCTTGAACTATTTCCACCTATCTAACTGAAATTTTGAACCTATTATCAATCATTTCCTCAATACCTCACTGTCTACCCTGGTAGCAATTTACTCTCGGTTTCAAGGAATTCAATTTTTTTAGTTGCCACACATATGTGAGACTATTCAATATTTGTCTTTTTGTACCCGGTTTATTTCATTTAATGTAATATTTGTCAGGTTAATTCATGCTGTTTCAAATAGCAGAAGGTTTTTAAGAATGAATAATTTCCCATTTTGTGTATATACCACATTCTTTTCATCCTTTCACCTATTGGTAGACATAAAGTTTGAATACACATTTTATAACTGAATTTAGCTACAATGACCAAGAAAGAACATTTGTATTTCTAACATATTTTTGATGAGAGTTGTTTTAACTGGGTTTGTTGTTGTTGTTGTTGTTGTGTATGTCTTGAACTCCTCCTGTATTTTGGATAATAATCCATTATCAGATACATAGTTTGCAAATATTTTCTACCATTCTGTCAATTGCCTCTTTGCTTCATTGAGTGTTTCCTTCACTGTGAAGAAGCTTCTTAGTTTGATGTAATCTTGGTCTATTTTTACGTTTATTGCCTTGCTTTTGGGGTCTTTTCCAAGAAGTTTTTGCCTATGCCAATGTCTTTAAGTGTTTCCTTTAGTAATTTGACAGTTTCAAGTCTTAGATTTGGATCATTTATCTATTGTGAGTTGACTTTTGTATAGGGCGCATAATAGGGTCTTGTTTCATACTTCTGCTTTCAGAGCTCTAATTTTCCCAACACCATTTATTGCACAGATTGTCCTTTCTTGAGGGAGTCATTTCAGCTTGTTTCTTAAAGATTAGTTTTTTGTACATCTATGGATTAATTTCTGGGATTTGTATTCTGTTCTATTGGTATACTTGCCTATTTTTGTGCCAGTATCAGGCTGTTTTCTTTAAAACTGCCTGTAGTATGTCTTAAAATCTGCTACTGTGGTGCCTCCAGCTTTGCTTTTGGTGTGTAAGATTGCTTTAGCTATTTGGAGTCTCTTGTATTTCCATATGAATTTTAGGGCCACTTTTTCCTAGATCTAAGAAGAATATCTTGGGTATTTAGATTGGATTCTCTTTGAATCTATAAATTGCTTTATGTAGTGTGTACATTTTGATGGTATTAATTTTTTCCAATTCATGAACATGGAACACTTTTCCATTTATTGTGTGTCTTCTCCTATTACTTTCCTTAATGCTTTGTAACTTTTATTTTAAAGATCTTTCATATCCTTGGTTAAATTTATCACAAGGTATTTGAAATTGTTTTTGTAGCTATCATGAATGGGACTAATCTGACAAGCTCTTGCTCTGTCATGGCATTTTTTGCGTATACAAAAGGATAAATGGCAAACAGATACATGGAAAAAGGCTCAGGATCTCCAGCCATCAAGGAAATGCAAATAAAAACCACAATGAGATTTCACCTCATCCCAGTAAGATTGATTATGATCTAAAAATCAAAAACTATCAAATGCTGGTGAAGGTGTAGAAGAAAAGGTTCCCTAATACACTGTAGGTGGAAATGTAAACTAGTACAACTATTACAGAAAACACTGGATATCTCTCAAATTTGAAAACAGGTCTACTGTACAACACAGGCAACCCACTCCTGGGAATTTACCCAAAGGCAATAAAATCAGCATACGAAAGAGTTATGTGAACCCCCATGTTTATAGTTCAATTCACAATAGCTAACATATGGAATCAACCTAGCTATTGGATAAAGAAAATGTTGTATATATACATGATGGAATACTACTCAGCCACAAAAAAGAAGGAAATCCTGTTTTTGCAGCAAAATGGATGCAACTGGGGACAGATATCATTTTTTTTTCTGATTTGTGGTAGATAATACATAAAGTAGAAAAATACAATGCACATTAATGAAATTTCCAGACTGAGATTTGATTATTGTTTATAGCCCATGCCTATACTCCTGTAGAAAAATGGTCTTTCTCCTTGTTGAATTATTTATTTAATGGATGGTCAAGCCTGTGATTACACAGTAAATTGAAAGTATATTATCACAAAAATTAAAGAAAAAACAGGAAGAGGGAGAGAGGGCAATTGAAAAGTGTCATCCTTTGCTTAAAATTACATACATGAAAAACATGAAATCTCTTCTCTACATATAAATTAATAATTTTTTACACTTTTATGTAGTAAATATAAATTTCCAAAGTACAGCTTATGGATTACAATGGCTTTCCCCCCCCCATAACTTCCCTCCCACCCGCACCCCTCCCATCTCCCGCTCCCTCTCCCATTCCATTCACATCAAGATTCATTTTCAATTATCTTTATA